CCACACAAAATGTCATGACATAGATCATTGTTTTTTTTACAAATTGCGTTGCCTTCTCGATTAAAGAAGAAAAGGGCTGTTTTTAGGGTTTTCCCGGCAATTATTCGTTTTTTTCTCGCCCGTAACAACCATCCTTGGACTTCAACGAACATTTTAAAAAGAATTGGCCAAATTGGTCCAGGCGTTGTTGAGTTATGCGCTTACCAACACATTTTGCGATCCATTTTATATATAAGATATATATATATATATATATATATATATATATTCATATAATAAATGTTAAAATTCATATAAATAAATGATTATGGTATTTATTCTAGTGCTTTTAATAAGTTTGATAAATAAATTTAATTTAAAAAATCTATTTAATCCATTTTATTAGCAAATAAAAAGAAATTGAATATGTGTAAGATTAAATAATTTGCATTTGATAAGAATAAGAGGCCTGTTAGGATAGCATTTTTCATTAGTTTACTTTAATTATATATAGATGTGTCACATTTTTATTTGTTCGATCTAGATAATATTCTAAATGATGTTACAATGTGACTTTATTACTAAACTAATGCGAGCTTTACCATCGCGATTTAAACCCTAACTAGGTCATTAGCATATTGTTTTTCGTATTAAGGATATATTATAAGTTTCTTTCATTGGTCTGTCAATCATCGCCGCATATTGAAAAATGTCGTAAATTTTTCCTGATATTATCTTTGCCATGTTATGACGAAAGAACAACATTGTTATTGTTAATACTAGAACTAATTAAACTACAGCTTAAGACATTTTAATGTCAACAGTCGCAAATATAATGATCTCACGCGTCATATCGGCTTTTGTTTGCTTAGCGTAAGATGATTTACGTATAATAAATATTTACTTTTTCTGGTAGTTTAATATGCAATCAGCAATTTTAACTTAAATGACATTACGTTCAAATATGAAATATTTTCTCGATTGCAATTGTGTCCGCTATACTGAGTTGATCATACGTACTGGGTGGATCAGGATAGCCCCGGATTGTCCAGGACATTCCCGGATTGTCACTTTGGATTACAATTTTTTCTAAAAGTACTATTTGCCTCTATCATCCTGAATTTTTGAAAAGCATAAGTTGACATTGACTTATCGTCATTACAACAATTTAAAATTACAACACTTCTTCAAATATCCAAAAATTAATTATACGACGATTATGGTTATATGAAACTCTTAGAATTTTAGTATTTTCGCACTTACATTTCCATATTAAAATATGGAAACACACTTCTTGCAAGACAAATGCTTTAGAGAAGTGACAAAACTCGACTTGGAATAGGCGATACTTTATACGCAAAATTATAAAGAAAATTTTACAGAATTTTATACAAGACTTAAAAGCAAAAGTTAATTCTTAAACAAAATAAGAAGTTTTGCACTCGCTGCCAGCAATTCTGATTTTAAAAAATTAATTTCTTTTAGAAAAAAAGACTGATTTTTATCGTTTTCTTAATTATTATTTGTTATTTTAAATTATATTTAAATTAAACAACTCCCGTTTCGGATTTGAATTGTAATAATATGTTTACCTTAGTTGTCCCTATTTGTAAAATAACTTCATTCTTTAGAGTAATTGCACTAATATTTAAATAATATAAAGTGTATGCTAAAATCTTTCAGCCAACTTTTTTTAAATCAAGTTTTTACATAAAGCCATTGGGTAATATGACGAGTTTCGTACTTGATGAGCGTCAAATAAATTGAGTTGGTCCGAACATAATTATTTACCCTTGAAAACAACACCGACTAATTTAAGTATTTAAATAAACGAGTTCAAACGAACGTTGCATTAAGCTCTTACAACTTTAAACATTATTGCATTTCTTTCGATGAATTGTTATATTATAGTATTTTTTTATAACTGAAGCTAAAGTTACTTTTTTATGTTTGTTAACTTGCTATTAACTATTTAATTTACTAGTTAATTATTTTATATACTCGATCGCCACTTCATACACAAGAATCATTAGGCTAAATTATATTTTATGTGAGGGTTGTTGATCTTGAATCCTTTTAAAAGTATATTATATGAATCATAAAATTAAATCAGTTAAAAAAAACAAATATTACAACTAACTATTCAAAGTTTACTAACATTTAATATTTAGAGATAAAACTAAACTGGAGGCATTTTTCTATCACTGATATATATATATACCATTAATAGCTTTTTATTTTAAGAAAACTTGCACTAAAAGCTAATTTCTCTTTAATATATAATATAAATAAATAAGTATATATGATAATCTTGAATTGATGTGATATAATTTTATTTGAGTTTAAAAGTCGGGGGTTACATCAATAAAATAGTATGAGTTTTTAGAAATTTATTTAAATCCATACGTTTCGGCTAGCATCTTAGCTTTCATTCAATGGCAATCAATATAACTATAAAAATTAAAACTAAATAAACATGTAAGAAAATTCATAGGAAAAAAAACGATAATAATAATAATAAACACTTACAATTTTGTATCCTAATATAATATAATGGCCGGCCGTGGTCCCGTGGTAAGAACGTGGGCTAGCAATCCTAGTCCGGGTACGAATCCAACTGCGGTCGGTTCGGTATCAAAGCAGCTTGATACCAAATTTTCACTTGAAATCATAAATTTCAAACATGATCTCAAGTAAAATGGCCTTTCGTGGGCATTGCTGCAGCGTACGTATATGCAGAGGGTGCAAGAGTTGTAGTAGCAACATGCCTCTTGCAAATAAGAGGTACTCGGATTGTATCCCTGTACTCAAAAGAGTTGGAGAATAAGTCATACACCGGGAGAACCTTGGGGAGAAGTAAAATTCAAGTAATAAAAAGGAAAAAGTAATAATCATGTAATAAGTAGGAAAAAGTAAAAAATGTTTGTAATACGTAAGAAAAGGTAATATGCATGTAAGAAAAAAAAGTGTTAAGTATCTTAAAAAGTAAAAATGGTAAGAAATGTAAGTATAATATATATATATATATATATATATATATATATATATATATATATATATATGAAATTATCATTCCATGGTATGAGTATGTGCACAGTGGTAAAATATATATTTTTTTACATCACAAATGGCAAAACACACAAATAAACACGAATAACATTATAAGTTGTCGAAACTATAGTTTCGTCGACATATTATGTATTACTTTTGCAAACGAAGAGTGGAAAGGGTTAACGCTTCAGGCAAACTGATCAAATAATTGATGTAAAAAATGTTTGAAGATTATGATGGACGATCAAGATATATTTTCAAGATTAAGATAATTTGAATTAAGGGGGTTGTTCTTTTTTTTTACAAAAAATGCAAGGTATTTGTTTTTGTTTTTCTCGAAATGTATTTATCATAGAGACATGCGTTTTTTTTTAAACAAAAATTACATAATATAGAATATTACGAAATTTCTTTTTGTTTTTTTCGCTGACATTTTTTAACCAGGGGCCGCCAAAGTCGGCCTTGCAAAATCGATCTCTTTTGCGGTGCCACAGATAATCTGTTGCGCATCGCCCTGAAACAATAAAAGAAACTACGTTGAAGAAGAAGTTTGAATCCAGTCCCCCTACAAAATGAAAGAAAAAAAGCAGGAAGGAAAAAAATGGCAGCTATTTAAAAAAAAGTGTCAAAAAAGGACTTTTTTTGGGGCGAGAAGCTTTGCAAAATTTTTTTGCGTAATGTTATCAAGTTGTTTGAGGTAGGAGGACTAGGTATTGCAGTGGTGAACAAATTAAAAAAATGTAAGTCGATCCGACTTGTACTTTTTTTATTAATTTGTGGCACCGCATTGAAAAAAGTCAATTTGAGAAAAACGTATTTGAATTTTAATACAATGTACTAAATACACCATTTAATTTAATGTACTAAATACACCATGGTGTTCAAAGATGCTGACACATTAAAAGATCATGTGCATGAGGTATTATAATGAAAAAGAGGGCAGCTGGCATACAATAGCTCGCGGAGATACTATATATATATATATATATATATATATATATATATCTATAATTCGTCAATCCAAAAATAGATATTGAGATGATTTTTTTTTTTAATAATTCTAAGGTTTTTAGCTTTCATAATATCAAAAATCGACAAAAAAATAAATAAATAAAAAACCGAACAACCCCTTTAAATGAATTATTTGGAATGATTTTACTTTTAATTATTTATTTTAGAAACAATACTGCAACATGAGTTAATTTAAATGTTGTTTAGATATGATAAAAAATAATGAATATAAATGTGTTTGTGTACACATTGTGCTTTTTAATTTATACATTATTTCATTATTTAAAAATATAAAATTCCAAATGTTTGTAGAATGGATTCAATTCATTGTTCTTAGAATTGTAGTGAGTGGACATTTATTAAAAAAGATTAAATAATTTTTTTTCAGGAATTGTATAAATCAATCTATACACTGACTGCAGCATGTATGTGTGCATAGCAGAGAGTAATTTTTGGTTCCCGGGCTTTTGCCTGCAGCGGTTTTAGTTGATGCTCCTGAAAAGTATTAAGCTGCTCAAAAATTTGTGCCAAAGGTGAGATATGTCTTTTTATTGATACTAAGAGCAGTCTTTACAAACGTTGTACCTTAACTTACGATTTAGATTCCAAATTGTTGGGCCAAACTTGTTCAAGCTGGCGCGGCGTTCATGACGATTTTTCCACACAGAGTGCAGTTCATCACAAAAATAAAAATAATTTGTGCTTTATAGTTCCATATAAATAAATATTTTGTAATACATGCGATTGCGGTACCGGTCATGGCCATAATGAGTAGTATTTGCTTCTGGCCAGATGTGCGTGATATTTACGTTTGGCCTAGCTTTCGTACGCGGGCTATTCTAAGTTAAGGGGTTAACAAATGAATTTCAGATTCTTGTATTAATTTGTGTTTATAAGACTTTATTCTGATCTCACATAGCTGATTCATAAAGTAACCTATATCTACCTATTTACAATATATATTATTGGTAATAATGTAATTTGTTGCCTTTATTTTGTAGTTTATATTGAAGTATTATCGGGCCAAAAAAGAAAAGTTGTGAATTGACTGTGTGTCCCGCTTTTGTAGCGGGATAGTTCAATCAGCAACCTGGAACTAATGGAACTGGAGAACATTGTTGCCAACACTGTATATTTGAAAGCTCGTGAAGGTGAAAGTAGATACGTGAAATATGGTTGAAACTTACTTTTTTAACATTGAGCTAATATATATATTTTTATACTAATACTATATATTTTTGTGCTAATATTTTTTTGCCGGAACGCTAAAATTAAAAAACCGGTTTTTATGTTTGTTCCGGTTTCGTTCAAAAAGGACATAAACAAAAATTATTACAAACCCCATTTTGTGCATATATATATATATATATATATATATATATATATATATATATAATAAACACACATATATATATATATATGTGTGTGTGTGTGTGTGTGTTTATTACAATAATAAGGACGTTTAATAAAAATTAGTTAAAGTAAAAATTATAAAATTCACTTATCAAATTATTTTCTGTTGTAGCAGATTTTTTAATTTTTTTTGCCGAAATGCGTTCCGGCCCTAAAATGATTTGATATAATAAACCAAACATACAATACATAAAATATTTATTTATTTTTATATTATTATTATTAAATATATTTATATATTTACTAGCAAACCCGACGAACTCCGTTTCGCCACCAGATGGTTTCAGAGAGAAGATGAAGAATTTTTTTGTTTGTTTTATATTTGAAAAGGAAAAATTTGATATTTACACAACTGTAATGAATTTATTTCGATTAAAAAAATGAAGTGTTTTTAGTTGAACTTCTTTAAGTAAATGAAAGTGTACCCGCCAATTATCCGTTTCATTGAAGTGCTCTTTGTAAACATTTTTGTTTTTTGGTCTGACGTTAACACAAACAAAGCGGATGGTTTTCCAACTCGTGAACAGGCAACGTATTACTGCCCATGTGAAAAAAAAAAAGATTTTCTAAATAATCTATTTGAAATTTATCCCGCAAACACTAAGCGATTGGCCTTGCGACTTGTAATTGTCATTGCGAACGCAAGGGGAACTGGAAATTGCAATCGTTTGAAGTCAAACTGAAGACCAGTCGGAATCATTGGTATGTCACCAAATTGTCAGCAATTTTTGATTGAATGGTGAAATTCAGTGCGTGTATATCATTATTTGTTGCAGCAAGAATTGCTCGTTGACTTAACCAAGCATAATTCTGATAAATACGGTGCGTGAAGTTCCAGCAATTTGCATTAAGGCACGATGCCATGCACCACTAATTTTCTTAGCTATAAATTGTGGAGCCCGAGACCTTTCCAACGAATGCAAAATTGTCGAATTCGGTTCGTGCGTTCTGGAGTTATATCGTCAGGAAGGAAAACCCGACTTATTTTTATATATATGTAGATTATTTTGTATATTTATTTTATTATGTATTGTATGTTTGGTTTATTTTTATATGTAATTATCAAAAATAATGATTTTTCCTGTGGTGTGACATGTATATCTTTTATTCTTTAATTATTTTAAATATAAATTTAAATTTATTTCGTTAAATTCTGCAAATATCCTTTTAGATACTGATTAACATATGTATGTATATTTATTTGTATGGGTAAAAGTCACATAGGGACATATGCTTTTCGTATACTAAGCATCAAAATAAGATACTTTGCCGAAGAAACCATTTCTCTAAAATGAATTCTGATGCCTGGTGCATTCATCCAAAGATTGGGTCAAATTTTAAAAAATCCTGTTTTGGCTCATTTAGAGCTCCTCAATAATGTCCAAATGTATGACCGACCCCAGTAAGTTTGGAATGCTGATCTACCCATGCCCATGGTTCACCCGCTGGGACCTTCCTTTAGAGGTCTCCCATACAAAAGTTACATCATTTTGGGTGGATTGGCCTTCCAAAGTTAGTTGGGGTATATATATATGTATATATATATATATAATATATATATATATATATATATACAGGGCCGGTCCTGGGGTCCTTAGCGCCCGCATGCAACTTTTTTTATAGCGCCCCCCCCCCTGTTAATTTTAACTGTTCTAACAGTTTGTCATTAAAATTATATAAATATTGACATAATTTTTTAAAAATATATAAAATGTATAAAATCTTAAAGCGTATAAAACACATGGATTTTCAATTTATTTACAAAATCGAGGAAATTCGCGTGTTGATTATAATCAAAAATTTTAAAATTTTCAATTATTTTTAACGTATGTGCAATATTAATATTTGAGTTTTGAAACATTTTACTTATTTATTATACAATTTATTCTATTGAGCAACTTACACCAAGTGAGCTAAAAAACTAGCTTTTCATTTTCAGTCATAATACTCATATTTCATGTTGGATTTTTTAATTTTAAATTTTTCATTATTTACAATATCCAAAATTGAGTCGTAAACTGTTCTAACAGTTTGTCATTAAAATTATATAAATATTGACTTCTTCTTATTGATGTCGTAAGAGCGGTATCAGGTTTTAAAGTTTACTTTTTAACGTATTTTAGAAGTATTGTCCAAAATCAGTGAAAAAATGCAAAGAAATTACACATTTCTTGAACTATGTTGGAAGAAAAAACTAATTATATGTGATATTTATTATTTCTGCATAGTTAATTATTATTAAATTTAGAGTATGGATACCACTAGGTATAAAAAAAACCTTAAGAGTTTCATTCCAAAGTAAATTTTGCTTCCATTTTTCATATTTGTTCCATTTTCATAACCCTAACCACGCATGTCTTCAACATTCAAAGTTCTGCAGATGCGAAACATTTGCAACAAAAACAAAAGTTACAATTCAATTTTTCGGAATAAACATACGATTTTCTAAGCACTGACTCCCCATTTTTCATTTTCTCGACTATAATTTGTTTAAACTAAATCAGGTTGCAATTTTTCGTCAATAATGCCCAATAATTAATTTAATCTCTCGCAGGTTTGCGCTTATGGAATTGAACACTAGATAATTTCCTTTTCGATTTCACGGTAACTTTAAACAAAGAAAAAATTGAATAAGTCGATTGAGCAATAAACAGAGCTGTTATTTACTAATTTGCAGAGTTATTAATCGGTTAATTGTTTCTACTGATATCACATTGCAAAATAAATATGCTTCTTGTATCTTCGTAACCATCGTTAAGTTAGATTATTTATTATAATCTAATAAGTATTCTAGATTTTATATAAATAATAAAAAAATATAAATAATATAAATTTAATTTTCAAAACCCGTTTTGGCGCCCCCTAAGGCTTGCGCCCGCATTTTTTGCATGCATCGCATGCATGGCAGGACCGGCCCTCTATATATATATATATATATATATATATGTATATGTATGTATGTATGTATAAACCAATACTTCAGTTTCATATTATTCATCAATCTGTATTTGCCTGCGATTGAATAAAAAATAAACTTTTATTATTTGTAACAATTTTAATGGTTTTTGAGCCAATATTATTCATATTTATCGCCTGATTCATTTATATTCAATATTCATAATCATTCAATCATTATCATTTTCTTAATGTTTTACAATATGATTAAATATTCGCATAATCTTAGGTGGATCAGACAGCAGCAAAGGCAAAAGCAAAAAATGGAAGAAAATTCTGCAATTTCCTCACATATCTCAATGCATAGATATAAAAAACAAAATAGGTATGCTATTATTCACTTTAAATGAATCTATGTTCGGTATTACATGCATTTTAAAATATTAATGAAATGATTTATTTAAATATTTCTCACTAATATTAAGAGTTGCAAACTTGTATTATTAAATTATTATACAGATGTAAGATACAGTTACGTAGTGACACAGCAGCCATTGGGAGATTATTATTTCGCCAGTTTTTGTGAAAAGAAAAGACCACAATATTATCGTTTATATTTGTTTCTTGGATGATGTGGAAAAAATGAACTGGAATTGGATGAAGCACGTTTGGAGATATCATTAGAAATAAGTAAGAAATACCTCACAAGTAGTTCAATTGAATCGGGTGATAACCCTGGTAAAACAGTGATTGATGTATTAAATGATGATGTTATAGAGCTTGTAAAAACAAATTATCAAGTGAGTGAAAATGTTTTATTCAGGTGATAGTTTTACTACTTTTATTTCCTAACTAAACATTTAATAAATTCACAGGTGGTTGTAAAGATCTATTTGAACTTGTGTTTTAATCATCAAAAACTTTTTGGCAGGGGGCCTTTCTGGGATTTTGAATCATCAATGTATTTTCATAGGTATGGCTGTTAAAATTCAACTTTAGTTACAAACTATTATATGTGACATGCAGTTTATTATATTTATTGTAAATAGTAGAAAAATAATATTTTATACATTATCAAAATTGCTATACTGGTTTATTAAAATTAGATATTTGCAATGGAAATGGCTAGAAGCATTGCCTGTAACATACAAGACTTTTCGAATGTATCGAGTTCTAGGAAAAGGAGGATTTGGAGAAGTTTGTGCATGTCAAGTAAGACTGCTTAATTTAAATATATATTTTTTAAATTCAAAATTGAAAAGATTTAGGAAAAATTCAAATTTTGTTTTTTAGGTAAGGGCACGGGTAAAATGTACGCTTGCAAAAAATTAGAAAAAAACGAATTAAAAAAAGAAGGGGGAGTCAATGGTGTGTTGATTGAAAAGCAAATATTACAAAAAATTAATTCAAGATTTGTTGTCAATTTGGCATATGCCTATGAAGACCAAAGATGCCCCTCTGTTGTTTTAACCATAATGAATGGTGATGTTGATAACAATATTGATAAATTGATATATGATTAATTTCTTGGAGGGCGTAACATCAAGTAAAAAGTAAATCAAGATTTTAAAACATCTTTATTTTCCATGCGTTTTGATGTAAAAATCTCTCATCTACTTGATGTTATGTATGTGTGTGTGTATATGTATAT